AAAGAAAAAAAGAGATAGGAAGTGAATGAATTGATAAATGAACAGATAAGACAAAAAGGTATTATTCCAATGATTATAATACAATGTTTTTATCAGCGAAGTAGGCCTATTCCTTATAATTTTCAAACACAACAAACCACCTAATTACATACCTCACTAATCCGTGTGAAATCTGATCACTTTCCATTAGACTCAAAAGGTTAAGTTGTTTAATTCCTGGGAACTATAGCCTGAACACGACCTACATAAAAACAAGGCGTGCCCACACAATGCTAAATCACTTGCTATATTGATATACTGTAGTTACATGAATTTTCAATCAAGTATAGCGTTTTTTATATATACCCTATAAGATTTTACGCATTTTAAAGAGAACTTGCCAAAGAATATACAGTAAAAACAAGACACAAGAAACAGTGGAAGCCATAGAGACGTTGCCGTTTTTTTTCGAACCCTTTTTCTAAGCAGTGCGTTACATATACACGTATCTATGTGCAGGCAATTTTAGATGGAAGAAACACCTGTAAACCTTCAAAACCAACATGCCAATTGTCAATAGGTTTTTAGCCAGTCAATATTCACAGGAACTAAATAACGAAGTAGCATAGCCCTCGAGACGGAACTTAAAGCGCATGAAATGAAAGCAGCATACCATTTACTTCATCATTCTATATTGGTTCCATCATACAAATCACATACAGCATTTTTTTTTTTTTTGCTCGAAAGCGCATTCATAAATGGTCCAATTTATAAACAGGAATTTTTCTTGCTGACCTCACAAGACGATCTGAACGCGCAACCGATAACTTAAAAGTATATGTTGATGAGACGGTACTCTTTTTGATTGCTCTGCTATATGTTCGTCCTATGACACCAGTTAAGATGTGCCGGGTTTTTATTTAAACCCGCTTTGAATGCGGCTTCAAGGTGCCCTAACTGAACTTTGCCTTTTGGGAGCGAACTTTTCTTTTGGGAGTGGACTTTTATTTTCTGCTGAATAATACAGGCCAAACAGGGATACAGATGTAGATGCATACAAACAGGGTGATATAAATAATATTTTTCAAGGGCTAGGAGGCCACATATTTGAAAAGAATGAAACACAATAGAAAACTGCATTGTTATGTTAAGTCATAAGGGACATGGTTTATTTAAACTGGAATAAGGGCAGTTCGTGGAAATACAACTGATTCAGATTATTTTTGCATTCTTGTTCTCTTAAAGAATACGTGACCCCGCCGGCGAAATAACATTCGTATTACAAGGAAGAAAATAGATGTCATAAAATAGACATCATTTTGCCTGACCTGCTGCAGGCATATATGACCGAACACCTGTACAAACTCGGTCACATTAAATATTCCCTGTGCAAGCGAATTAAAAATTTTGCGACAAATTGCGTTATCTGTTTTCCTCACGCTGCAGAATATAAATACAAGAATGTTGTTTGCACACTGTATTGTAAACAGACTTGTTGCCGAAGTCACTTTTGGCACAGTTTCTGAGTTGGCAAATATTCCACATTAAATGCATAAAATACCAGCAAGAACATGGCAAATAAAACCCTATTAAATTTAGAAATTAGCTCAGTAGAGGACAGCTCCCTTGATCAAATTAGTATCGGGTTGAATAATGGCACGGGCGAAAGAAAACAAAGAATTTGTGCTCTCTAACAGCTGGTTAACCTTACGGACCAGCATCGATATAAAATTGTTGTTAAATATTTACTAAGTTGGAGGTTGTATTTGTTCTTGTTAACTGAATAGGGTAAAACCAACGCCTTAATGCCCTGCGCCAATAAAGTGCTAGACAGTGCCTAAAATAGATATAGTCCACCAACTGGCGGATTCAGCATAGATATCTGTGTGTGTGTGTGTGTGTGTGTGCGTGCGTGTGCACGCGCGTGCGCGTGGAGGGGGGGTTGATCCACTTTTTACCAGGAAACTTCAGCAAGGCTGAAAACATGGTAGGATCAACCTTATCCCAGGCCCTATTAACCCACCCCCAGTGTTCTATGCATTTTCTTTGAATAGATAAGAAGAATGGAATGATAGTTTATTATCATATTTAAACTAAATATAAAAGGTTTTTCGCGATCTGTGGATCAAATGTCCAATTTTCATAGTAAAAAAACTCATCTTTTCTATCCAGAAAGACTGTTCTTTCTTGCCGCCCCTCGACCCTTCGGGATTTCTAAAATTTTTTCTAGGTTTCTGATCAATTCTGATTACGTGATCTGATTTAAATGAAGCCTGTCATATGGAGAATCCCCTGTTAGGAATAGCACATTCAGGCTTCCGTTGTACTACGAGGGAGAAACCGTAGAAAAATACATGTAGCTCGTTGATGCAAGTTTCCTTCATAACCCTTCTAAGGTAACGATTCTTACATACATGTGTATTTGTAGATTTCAGGAATACAAAGCGGTACTCCTGATCAGGTTAGCATTCTTTTTAAAGTACACAACATCTCCAACTTTGTCGCGCTATATTTCATAGATATCTTATTTAATTTGACATGTGGGCGTATTTTTCTTTTTCACAGTATAAGCAAATTTAGCGGTCAAGGTGGGTTGGAAAGATAAACATACTTACGTATATTGCATATTTACAAAATACATTGTATTTCCGGTACAATGTACAATGTATTTTTCAAGCTTTGGCGTTCTTGGAATAATGTCGTGATTATGAGACTCAGAGAAATAATTAATTGCAGGCATGGATGAAAACATTAAGCCCTTGAATCACTTGAATACTGAAAAATATTTGGCTGAAGGATGTAACAAAAATGAGATGTGGCGAAACCACCTACAAAAAATGAACATTTGTCAGGCGAAGTAAAGTGAAATTTATAGGAAAACTTTCCAGTAGATTACTTGCAGGCTAAAGTCGTATACAGACACATGAAGTAAAATTAATCCCGCTTGACAACCCCCGCCCGGACAATTCCCCCCAAGAGAATCCCCCAGGGCAATCCCCCAAGACACCCCCAATCCCTGGAAAGAAAATGCCCTGCTTTTGTGTTATCTGTTTGAGGCATTTATAATTTTTGTATATATTTTACTGAATATAAGAAAGTACACAAAAAAATTAAATATAAAAAAGATTGTCTATTAATTATAAAATTAAGGAAGCTCTCATACGTGCTTAAACAGATCTGAGAGGTAACTTTAAATTATCAGATGCTATAGATGCAAATTTAAATTCTATTAAATTTTCTAAAAGCAAACAAATGCCATATCATCTGCTTTCCTTTGATGTTTGTGAGTTTTCTGAATAATGAATAGGGGTTATATAAATAATAATAATAATAATAATAATAATAATAATAATGAAACTTGAAAAATAAAGCAAATTTCGAAAGCCATTATCTTTACGTCAGGGGGTAGTGGTGAAACAATACAAGCTGACAATTTGTTCATTAAAGTGTTACCTGGATGAGTGAGATTATTTGTTTACCGCACATCTACCTGGGGATGCACCTTGAATTAAAGGAAGACAACGTGATTTAAGTGGGGAGGGTAAAACAATAAATAGTGTCAGTTAGTTCATCAAAGGGATATCTGGATGAGTGAGATTATGTTAACCCAACCTCTAGAGATAAGTTTTGATTAAATATCACACTGCTCATTTTCAGTATGATATTCCTTACAGGAGGGTGAAGGAGGATTGTCCGGAGGGGGGGAGGGTAATCCGGGAGAAAAAAAATTTTTTTTTTTTTTTTTTGGGGGGGGGGGGGGTCAGGGGTTGTCCTAATACAAAAATCAACGTCATTTCTCTTTGTTTTTTTTTCCGAGGCTGAAAATGGGCCATTGACAACGTCCTTATGTCTGTACCTCAGTATCTATGTCCTCCTTTATTACTTCCCTGGAAGTGTGTCCTTACTACCGTATGAATAGAAAGTTGGAAAGCTACATGTTGAGGCAGGCTGGCGGTTTACAATATTTAATGTGAATACCAAAATTTGATGTTTTAATAGATATTTGTATAGTGCAACAAGAATTACATCGATAAGTTAATAACGTGAAATTGAAAAAGGTGAATTAGTTAAACAAGAGCATTAAACAAATTCAATTAAAGAAAAATAATTTAACATTCGCATATACGGGGTCCTGTAGGTAACGGCCATTCATCTATTTTCTTTGTTTCTTGGCCAAGCGTTTCTACGTCTTCCACTGTTTTCGTTTCCCTGAGGTTCCCACCCTAGACCTTTCTTGGCGTAATTATATAAGGGACCAAAAAAAAATCAACGATTATTCAAAACGAGCATTGTCATTCTAAGCCATTGCCCATAGCTACAAACGGTAAAGTGAATGTGCTAGTATAATTTTACACTTTAGAAACAAAGCATTACAATAGAAGCTGTTTATAGCTTCTCGTCCATGAACTTTACCCACGGTCAATATTAAGTAACCAGCTATCAGTTTCGTTGTTGACAATATTGACCGGGTTTCAACTTAGTCATAATCAGATATCAAAATAATGGCTTATGAAACACGTGTATCTTCCTGTTCCGTTCTGTTCTTAAAGGTATCACAGAAGTCATGACTTTATTATTTATTATTTAAGTTACAAATTGCTTTTTGTTTGATCCTGCTTTCAGCTAAGCCATGGGTGAGTGAAAGGTGAAAAACACATTGTAGGTAAAAGAAATGTCTGCATGTTGCTACATTTCCGTGAAAATGTAATCAAATACTTATGTATTGTTTTGTATAAAGTGTTTTGTGACGTACAAATTACCGTGTAACTCGATTATACACTTTTAAGTAGTTCACAAACAAAAAGAAGTTTTTTTTTAGTAATTGAATCACCAATCATGATAAAATGGGTAATAAATGTACAAAAATGTTTACCTGTAGGTCAAGATCTGCATTTAAAAATCTGCAGTGAGAAGAAAAGACGAAAAAAAAAGCGAAGAGAATGAATGTTCGACATCAATTATTTCATATAAAAAAGTAAACCTGATAAACCTGAAAACTGTTAAATTTTTCTGTATTTCAGTGTGACCCTGGTACGGGTGCTGACGCGTTCTACGACATGGTCTACACAGAGCAGCTGATGATGTTGTTCGGGAGCTCGTGCAGTGACGTCACCAGCATGATTGGACAAATTGTAGAGTACTGGAATCTTCTCTTTGTAAGATAATAATTTGTTTTGCGACTTTGTCATTTAAAAAGAGGACTGACAGTGAGTTAAAGAATTCATTGAGTTTTTTTTTTCTTAGGTTCATATTATTGAGTCTGGTTGTGCGCCAGTGACGGGTCCAAGATACCACAGATAATGGAGGGGTTCGATTTTGAAACATTGCCATAGCTATGTTAATCTCCTCTGCACCCTGAGATAGCCCACAGAGTGTTTTGAATGTATCATTAAAATGGCCTTTAATATAATATATCTTATCTTCGAGAGTTCATGGGGGGGGGGGGGGGATTCATCCTGGAACCCCGAAACCAAAACGTCCGTGTGTTGAGCAAGGTAAACAGAACTGTTATTTATTTATATTTTTTTATTTATTTATTTAATTTATCTTATTTATTTATTTACTTATTTTATTTATTTGTTTGTTGATAATGGTTTCAGGTGTCCCACGCTTCATCCGCCCCTGCCTTGAGCGACAGGGAAACTTTCCCCACATTCTACCGCCTGGCTGCGGCTGATGTCTCCCACAACGCGGCGCAGAAGAAATTCATCCAACATTTCAACTGGAACACCGTGGCTATAATACACGAAGATCACGAGCAGTATAATTTGGTAATTGTAGACCCGGAACTTCTCTGATTATCTTGCTGAAAAAGCTTTGTTAATAGCAGGTTATTGATCACTTAATGGCTTTGTTTACACACTTACAGGCTCTCTGCACCATACACTTCAGTAACATGCATGTTTGTTTGCCGATGCTTTATAACTAAGCGTCATTCTCCATTGCTTTTTTAAAATTAATTTGGGTAGGTTGCATGCGCTGTTAATTGGAAGTTCGGTTTATTTACAGAGTTTCTTTAAATGCCTTTTTGTTTATTAATTTTGGTGTGTGGCTGCTAAGTGCACTGGCGGAATGGAGAGGCGGTCTATTGGTGTATAATTGTTTACGGATAGATAGATTCCATTATATTAATGACCATTAATCGACTGCATGAATAAATGAATTTTGAGCAGCCTTGCAGAGTGGGAGGCTATGTAACTGACCGATCGGTGATAAAATGAAATGAAATGAATGATAAATTGAATGATTAATGTACCGATCGATCGATTGATTGATTTGTTTATTATTTGATCTGGTTGTTTATTAACTGTTTGGTTGATTGATTGGTGGGCTGATTGCTTTTTAGTTGGTTGATTATCCTAAAGAGATGACTACTCCTCGGTGTATTGATTGACCGGTCGGTTGTGTTGATGAAAACATGCTATTTTGTTTTTTATTATTATTATTCTTTTATTTATTTGTATCATTGATGGTAGGTCCCTAATGGATAATATTTATTTACATTCATGTTGATGAAGGTTAAAAGTAACAATCGCCACAGAAAGAATTCCATGTTCCTAAAGACACCTGTGTATTTGGACAATATGGTATCGATTTTTGTTATAGGCTGTAAACAATCTGAGAAGATATCTGGAGAGAAAGAGTTCTCAGGTTAATATGGACGGAGTAAAATTATATCTCTCTGTTCTGTGGTGGAAGAAAAATAATTTTGGTGTTGTTATGTGTGTATTGGATGTGGGTTGGGTGTGTATGTGGCTTTTTGGGACCTCACTCAATCTTTTCCTTGTTGTGTGAATAGTTATTAACAAGGAAAGCCGGTTGAGATTCGACTGATGGTTGTGTTGGGATGGTGCTTTGGTAACGTAAAGCTCTTGCTTTTTATAACACAAATGTTTTTTGCTGTTTTGTTTTTCCTTTGATTCGTTTCTGTCAATTCATTGAAATTCTCTGTCTGAATTTCCGTATAACGATATTTTTCAAACGTGATTGAAATCAATCGGATATATACTTGCCATACTGAAAGTAATCTTTCAATACATTCGTCCACGATACTCAATTTAAGATAAGCTTCAGCCATCAAAATGTTTGATTTATGTGTTTCATTTATTGGGGAATTATAAGCCAGGTCAACTTTCAATAACCGGTACTAAGATTTATTCATTGATTGTACGAAGTGGGTTAGGGTCACTGTCAATTTTTGGCTGGAAAATCTGATGGTCGGCTAAAATGTCAGAATGATTTGAATTGATTTCTTCCTACGGTTCTCCAGGGGAAACTTGAATGAAGCTAATAAAATAGGTATATTTGTATGAAAACAAGTATCAGATGTGCCGTATCTTATATTCCAGGCTGTTGTTGATACATCCTTCTCTGTTTTCAGGCTGTCCACACTTTACAGAGCACCATCGAGGCGGCAAACATCAAAGTGGCCCTCACCACCAGTTTCAGGATACAAGACTCAAACCTACCTGATAAGATGCGGCAAATAAAGGTAAGTTGCAGACTGCAGCGACGTGTGCTATTACATCATTTTATTGCTTTGTTGTGACTTTTAAGGCATGCAATGCGCGTTACACCTGTTAATGGCAAAAAACAGTTAGATAGTTTATTTTTCTGGGAATGTCAACTAATATTAAACACCATGTTTCAGGGATCACGATGTAAGACGCGTTCTATGGAACAGTTTTAAGACTTTTTGAAACTCACTTTCCCAAATCCATCTATGTATTTTTAAGTACTCTATGTTGATACCGATTTGCCAGTTTAACATGTGTCAGATCTAAGGTATGTTTTTTTCAATATTTTTAAATAAGTCTTTTACACACAGACCGCTAGGTTTGAAAAAGTGAAAAATAAAAAGCACAGAGAGAAAGATCCGTTTTTATCGGTCAATCACTGTTTTATCCTCAGGACAATGACATAAGGATAATTATTGGCAGTTTCTCGGAGGACATCGCCTACCACGTGTTCTGTGAGGCGTACAGGCAACAGATCTACGGGCTAAAATATGTGTGGCTTCTGGTTGGTGATTTTACCAGCCAATGGTGGGAGAAGTCGCATAACTTCTCTGATTGTACAGAGCAGGAACTTACAGAGGCAGTCAATGGATATTTTGCGGTTAACAGCTTGAATTTCATCGTTGGCAACAGCAAGTCAACCTCCGGTTTGGTGAATAAGTTGAATTATGGAAATGAAATTTTAATAAAAAGAAAATATTTAAGAAAACAAACACAGAACTTTAAAGATCATTTTTAAGTCCTTACCAATCAACTTGTATCCTCGGGGTAATTTTGTTTGATTTTTCATCGGAACCGTAAGTTACAACCAATTTTAACGTAGATATATTTCATCTATTGTCAAGAGCGTAACAAAAAGTTTTTTAGCATTAAATGTATTAATTTTTCTAGTATATTGAGATAGGTGTATTTGACGAATGATGTTTTATTCTAATTACAGACCAACGAGAAATTTGAGGCACAGTATGACCAAAAGGCTAAAGAATTGAACGCGCGAGTAACCAGAAGTGCGCATGCGCCTCAGATGTACGATACTGTGTGGACGATAGCATTGACATTGCAGGCAGCCGCCAACGCTTCCGGTGGTTTAGAGAATTTCCGATATGAAAATGGAACAGTTTGGAAAAGCCTGTTTTTTGATATCATGGGAAAGCTTACATTTCAAGGAGTTTCGGTAAGAATCAAGATACTAATATTGACAAAGAACTGTTAAAAAACAGAAATAAATGCTTGATACTAGACTAGTTTTTTTTTTAATATCAGATTTTTTTTCTTTTATCATTTATGATATCATTTATCATTATCATTTTATCAATTAAATACACCTTATAGTTTTTTTATGTTGCGAGAACTGATCAACAGTTTAACTTGCAAATATTGGTTTAAGATTTAATTATGAAAAAATATCAATATGTTTAATCAAAACATTTTTCTAGGGTCCAGTCTCGTTCACCGACACAGGCGACAGGCGTGGCATATCTGCCTTCACCCGATGTCAAAATGGTGTCATGACCTCAGTGGCGTTATACTATCCAAACAACGACACGCTGTCACTGAATTGCAAGGAGTGTAAACCTCTTCTTTGGACAGGTTGGGAGTTTAGTGTTGGAGGCATATAGTGTGCGTTACATCTTTGTACAACGCAATTTTAAGAAATTTAAGCCATTCTTGCTTTAACGTCATCGTATACCCTATGCAAATACAGTCGAGAAAATAACGGCCTATGAAACCATTCCAGATGGCCGACCGCCTGCCGACAAATACTCGGTTGTGATTCAACGGTCTCTCATTGACCCCGTGGCCTTCTACACCATCAGTGCCTTGTGCGGGGCGGGCATCTTTCTGGCGCTGGTGTTCTTGTTCTTTAACCTCCTGAATCTCAGGCGAAGGTAACTGCTACAAATTTTGATTTAGAAAGATAGTAAAAGGAGTCTGGAAATATAATATTTAAATAATAATTTCTTTTTCATCTTATTTATTTTACTTTTTGCGACCAATGTCATAGTATTCTCTGCTTTCCATTTGCTGGTAAAAAGCTCCGATGCCCAGGAAAAGGTATTCCATTGAAAAATACATCACATTAAATACATACTTGTATCTTTTGTTTAAGGAAAATTAAGCTTTTACAAGATAACTAAATCTAAATGCTACATTCTTGAACAAAGTTTCTTATATACAATGTATCCAACAGCAATACAAAAACCTGAATCAATAAACTTATTTATTTATTTCAAGGTATATAAAACTGTCCAGCCCAAAACTTAATAACGTAGCGGTGATAGGGTGCATATTAGTGTATTCCGCGGTTCTTCTGCTGGGATTTGACGACGGGACGCTTAGCTCCAAATTATATCCAACTGTCTGCACGGTGAGCAAAGTAAAATTCAACTCCATTCAAATAAAATGTTTTTAGAAAAGATAACGTTAAACGCGCTTGCCACAAGTAACTTTCTTAGTAAATAGACAATATTTTTGTTAAAAAGCTAATACCAACTTTAAATACTTTCTTGAAATAGGACCCTGGTGTGATAGTCAAGTCACCATTGTTAAATCTATACCTTTTCACTCTTGAATTCTCACAGGTGCGTGCGTTCCTGTTCGCTGCAGGATTCTCTCTGGCGTTTGGCGCCATGTTTACCAAAACCTACCGCGTCCATCAAATATGTATAGGTGCAGGGACAGGACTGGTGAAAAATAAAGTAAGAGTTTTGTTTGTTCATTCGTTTGATTTTTCAATAATATCAAAGTTCTTAAGGTATATAAAATACATTTACTATATACTGACATTTAAAATACATGTCTTTACATATTCAATAAGCAAATAGAGTGCTATTGAAAAAATTAACTGATATTCACGAGCTAATATTCAATATTAACGTATTCATTTTCTTACCTTTGATAAGTACTGTATATTTGTTTTGACCAGTCGTTTCTGGATTTACAACTCTAAGCATTGCAGCATTTCAAGACAATTGATACTTATTATAGTTTAACCCGTGAACCTATTTCCAGTTATTGAAGGACAAGCACCTGTTCTTCATTATCGGTGCCTTGCTGGTGTTCGACTCCGCCATAGTGTCCCTTTGGGCTCTGGCAGACCCCATGGTGCGGAACGAGAAAAATATAACAACAGAGGTGTGTGGGCGTGGCACCAGAGATTCATAAGCCTTAAGCTCAAGTTCACTCATGTAATGGAAGTGTACATTTGTTGCTTTAGCGAAACTATAAAAGTGATATAGATGTCCCTTCTACACTTGGTGAATTTCTTGTAAGGTGTCGACGGCTCACACAAACCAGGTTTTAGTCCTGAAGAAATCGAAAGGCAAATTGACAAAACTTTTGAATAGCTTACAACTAAAATTTTTGTCACAAGGACAGTTCATTCTTAAACTATACATCCTTCTTGAGGCCTAAATAATAAGACCAACTTGCCCTTCTTTCTTTCAGCCCGCCCCAGAGGATCCACACCGTATCCTCTACGTCCGGCAACATCTTCACTGCCACTCCCAGCAACAGAACATTTGGCTTGGCGTCTTCTACACATACAAAGGCCTTCTCATGATTTTTGGGACCTTCCTTGCCTGGTCTACCAGAAAGGTGAAGATAGAGGCCCTTAACGACTCCAGGTACATCGGTCTCAGCGTCTATAACGTGGTGGTGATGAGCATCCTCGTTGTGGCATTAACGGCTGTGATACCGGACCAACCGACATTGGCGTATTGTATAGCGTCTTCCATCATCATCGTCTCTACAACGGTGACGCTGTGCTTATTGTTTGTTCCTAAGGTGGGCGTTGTCATAGTCTTTTTCGAAACTGTTAAAACGGATTTTGTATTCTGTCTAACTTGTATTAAGTTGTTTTGGCAGTTACTTCATAAAATTATTATATACTCTGTTGGTTAACTGCCTTCATGTGCATTAAATACAGAAATATATGAGGTACCTGTCTCTTTATCATAGTGTGGAATATTGTTACAACACTGCAGTTCACAACCAAGTGTTTTTTTAGAGGAGCCCGTAAATTACTGTATATAAGAGTTATGTGATTTTGTGGCTGTTTTAAGACATGACTCAGTTCTTATTTCTGTGTCCACTAGATCCACGCCCTGGTCAAGTCCAGCGGTAACCCGGTCATCACGACGTCCGGACTGACCGTGGAAGCTGAGACAAGGCGACTGACCTGTGACGACAGCAAGGAGAAGCTGTTCAGAGCCGAGGTCCAGAATAAGACGTTCAAGAGCGAACTTGCTGAGGTGGGGGCTCTTTGGATCCAGTTTTCTGATTGAGAGTGTTACTTATACACGTGTAATCGAACGAGATATGTGACAGTGAGAATTTCAGTATCGTTCTTCAAAATACCTCGTCATTTTCTTTTATTTTTTCTGAGGTTTGGCAAAAGTGAGGCCGTTGAGGAGTCACATAAAGAAATAAAGAATCGCCACCTTACTTCTGCAATAGTACATGAAATAGATGAAAAGAATTCCATTTTAAATCTTGGATGATTTAAAAGTTTGTGCACAACTGGCAGCATGTCGCATAATTTGACTTATGTCACAGACGTTTCAATTCGTTATGTCAGAGTTGTTGGTTTTTTTACTTTCACATCTCATTTTACAAACGTTTCTATATTTCAGTTGGAGCGAGAGATTTCCCGGCTACAGATATTGCTAGATCTCCCTCCGGACCGCCTTGCTGCCCTAACAGGAACCATTATCAATACTAGTAACAACGCATGCGTCAGACGCAGGCGGCAGTCTTCCACGTAAGTCCATTTCTTTTTCAGAACCAAAAAATACATTATGGTCAACAAGTTGCCAATATTTGAAGTAGTACGTGTAATTTCAATTAACTTCGGGTTTAGGGAACAAACGTAAAATGTAGCAAGTTCGTTTCATATCGCCGAGGTCTTTATCAAAACGTCTTTTCAATTCTCACCCTTGCGTTTATTCATATAGTTATCCATTTCCATTTTAGAATTTTGGATCTCATTGGAAATGCTGACTTAGCTTCGCGCCAACAGCTAGCAAACGTTACTCATAGCTTTTCTATCCCACATTCAAGAACTTTTGACGAATGTCACAGGTCTTCCAACTGCAGGGCATCGGTTCATAAACATTTTAAGCAAAAAAACAGACGATATTCAACAGCTGTTGGTAACGCAGACGATTTCAATTTGCTGCGACACACGTCTGCTGGGTTTATCAGCAGACTACCTATGCAAGACACGCTCAACAACAGGTATATTCTCAGGAGACCGTCTTGGCTTACTGATGCCGACTGTATTTCATTATCAGATTTGCCTGTTAAAAACCTCAATCGTATATCCTGTAGCTTTCGCCACCGCACAAAACCGAAAAAAGTGACGAAAGAATGTGGAACACAAGTCAGCAATTATCAGTTGGAAGTTTTCAACCCTGTTGACATCAAATATATCGATGAAAGCACCGATGATATAACAATTAATAAGGATGCAGTAAATTGGAAAAATAGAAACTCTCCCTCAGGGAAAAGGGCCAAGCGCAAAATGGAATTACAACAGAAATTACAAAGGATACGAAAAGAGTTGGAAGAATTAGAAACATCGGACATATAGCCAATATACAAAAATTTCAGTTTTCACAATAGCGCATGTATATTGTGATGAACAACAAAATTAAAAGAATTAAAACAACTACTGAACGAACTGAAGCCTATGAACATATCACACCATATTATTAATACACATAAACAAAACTGTTCCGAAATCGACAACGGTGCTGCATAACAACCAACGTATGCAATGTTTAGAACTTTATTTTAACAGTGATCAGTTTAGGCGGTGATATAATATTGTACATTATATACATTGCAGAGTGCTTTATTATACATCAAATGCATTACGTTAATAAATTATATAATATTTGAAATCACATTAGAACGTAACATTACATTTGGCACCTTTTGTGTCTTGGAAACTCTTCTACAATTAAGTCCCAAAAGAGCCCAAAATACCACATGGTCAAGTAGTGCTCCCAATGCATACATGAGTGACTAGAACTTTATAAAACCATTAAATCGCGTATAAAAACTATCACATCACCTCTTTTTGATGTTACTGGTAACATTTTACAAAATATTAAAATTTATTATTTAAAAATGAACTTTGATGTGAAAGAATGCGTGGCGCATTAAATACATCCAGTGATGGTAAACTGACACTTGAGATTCCTTTATCGTAAGCTAGACTACTGCTACGTTGTCGTCGATATCCGTAGTTTCAGTGGCTTAAATGTAAAAAAATCTATTTCTAAACGCTGCTCACTGCTACATTTTTGTTGACCTCTTCCTCTGGCCACCCCTCCTCACTGTCCAGTCCGTTCTGCTCCTCTATCACAGTACTGTATCTCTGACCGATAGTGGGACGATACCCCGGATACAGCTTGTCTTGATTGTGGACAAACGTGAACGCCGACTGTCGGGAATCCTGCAGGTGGTGATGGTTCAACTTGCCGTGCTTGTGATAAGGGAGTATTACAGGCGCATAGCTGATACTCTCTAAGGGAGATGGGGGAGGGGCGGAGGGGAAATCCATGTGACTTCTCTGTACGGTAAATACCGAAAATGGAGATTGTTCTAAGTTTGAGTCATCTGAAGGGGAGTTAATTCGTAAGTCCTTGGGTGGTGTCTTCGTTAGACTTAATGTTTGAGCAACATCCCTAACAGGCGACTTCTTACCATTCAAAACAGTCCCGTTGCTGTGAATGTACTCATTGTTTTGTGAGGCAGCCTTTTGTGAAAGAGCTTCGGAAAGCTTTTTGCTTTCTTCTCGAGGTAGAGTTCCCAGATCACCCGGTTCTAAAGCAGGCCTACAAGCCTGTCTGTAAGAATCGTTCAATTTTCTCCGGTCTATCTTAAACCCGATCTCCGAGGCTTCTGTGTCCGTATAAACAACGTCGTTGTTATGGAACACCGGGTTCTCAAAGCCCACTTTTTTGGGTACAGAAAGATTTATCTGCTGTCCATTAAAAACGGGAGATTTTGAAACTCCGCGTTTCACTGGGGACGCCGCCCTTGCAATCCCGGGTACTACAGTATTGATCTGTTGCGGATTTTTCAAAGCCCGAGAATCAAGAGGCTGCGGTTGAATTTTAACTTTTTGTTTCACAGGGGGCGGCTGCATGCCAGGAATATGTCCGTTACGCACTGCGGTCGGCTTGTTACGGACCACAAGTCTTTCTCTATCGCTCGTCTGGAGTAATGAAGATTCTCGCGAAGAATCCCGCAAGTCCGGAGACGAGACCTGAATGTCGGACGGAATCCTGCCCTCTGAGAACGATTCTTCAGACGTTTCTAGGCTAGAACCTCGTTCGATGGCACTGTCGGTGTTCGGAGATTTAGAGGGCGATAGCGACCGCCTTTCTTTTGGTAAAAGTTTTCTGGTGCTATCTTCCAATAACCTCTCCCTTCCTTCGCTCACCATGCTCTCTGAACCAGGAGACAGATCAGAGGACAGTTCCGCCCTCGTTGTATCGTTAAAACTTGTGTTAACTTTCATGGAGTCAATGACGCTTCGTCCACTTATATTGGGACTTGTCACATTTTGGGTGGTGTTTGAGACCTCCTGACCCCCACTTGACCCCTCAGTGTCATACCCCTCACGTGGGGAGTTGGGCTGTGTTTCCGGTTCCTGTTCCTCCTTAACTGTCGTGATCACTGATATTCGACCATCTGCTATATCTCGTAAATCCTCGCGAGACATAATGATACTTTCCTGTGACTTCACTCGGTATATATCGTCCCGAGATTTGCCGAGGTATTCCTGAGACCTGGTCCTCAGACGGACGCGCCGAGACATCACCTGCTCTTCAGACGGGCGCTTTGGGTTCCGTAAATAGTTCTGGAACTTCTCAGAACCGTAGAATAGACGATCTGTGAGCTCCCTGATAGATCTGTCCTTCTGTAAAGCCAAAGTAAAAGCATTTAACTAGCAGTATAGGCATTATGGCAATATAAATTTATTACAAGATTATTAGCAGAATGAGAGCAGAGTAAATGACAAAATAAAAGACAGTCAAGAATTCTTTCCTATAATGAACAGCAATGTTCATGTATTTCGTGTTGTTTTACAATGTGTACACTTATCATTTGATGGCTTTGAATAAGTTTGAATATATGTCATGTTTATCTTGGTAGAGCTACCGTTTCATTTTTATCTCGTTTCTATGGAAACGACTAGGATTATTTCACTTGCCTCTTTAAGCATTCGTTTCAGAGTATCAATTTCCGTGGCGACAACTTCTTTAACATATGGATTATCTTTGGATTTTTGGCCACCGAAGCATCCACAGAAGCCATCTTTAGTTTTCTCTTTAGTTTTCTGTACAGATTCGCTGAAATTGAACTTCGGTTCTGCGCCTTTCTTTCTCTTCTTGTCGTGTTTTCTCACCAACAACACCTAAACAACATTAATAGAAGCAAAGATTAGAAAGGCTTATATCTTTGCAGTATTGCCATAAAATACGATTAATCGAGAAAGGTAAATTTCGTATTCACGTTTACAGGGATGTTATAATACTAATTTTTATTTAACTTATGTCAATGGTGGATATTAAAGTATATATATATAGCACATGAAATATAATACTGTGTTAAAAGAATAAAAACAAACGTTAAAAAATGACACAGTGATATTTTAGGGAATATAGAAGCGTGACAAACCTTTGGAATGAAGGCAATGGTGAGCGTGGCAGTCGTGAGGACAATGAGGGCCGTGGCTCCTGCGGCGTATTTTATTGGCGCCGACATCTGTGTTGACAGCATTATGGGAAGAATAAGAACGCCAACGGCAAAGGCGCTGTAAATTATGACGTATAAATACTGGCTGTCTTTCAGTGAGGGCAATGTCACGTGACGCGTTTGCCATGCGCAGTAGAGCCCTCCAATCAGTAGCAACATCTTGTATCCAAAGAGTAGAAGTATCCACATTGCGAAGTAATCTGACGTGCATTCATTGATTGAGTGCATGATGTCAGTGTTACTGAGATTCTGAAAAGTAAATGACCACTCAGTAGAGGTTCACTGCTACTAAATCTGTTTTCTTAGAAAAAATAAAATATATGCAGTTTTTGTTCACTTTTTATCTTGCCAAAACATTAACAATAATTTATAACTATATTAGCGGTACAATGTATCTATTAAAAGGAGAGACGAACCAAATTTTCCAACAAGTTGCGGTTACTGTCTCACCTGATATACTTTGACCTGTGACATCTGCTGGCAGCTGATTGGGTCCACTAGTATCCATGGCAATAAGATGACCAGGTCGATGGCCAAAAGTGCGCCCAAGGCAAGCAAAAGGTGCTCATCCTTAGTCGTCTGAAATGACAATGGTAATTTTGAACTCATTCTGTTGGTGTCTGCAAGTTTCAATCAACGTACTCGAGTCGGGTACAACTTTTTGAGATGAGATTTAATGAACCAATAATCATAAAAAATTTGATTCCTTTGAAAGTTTGTCTAAAATAAATGACTGAAAATAACAAAAATATTCAATAGATTTGCTTTAAAAGAGGTACTGGAATTTGAAAATGCCAGGCATAAAAAAATAATTGCCACTGCTGGTATAACAATGGGGATCATGTGAAAGATAAAAAACGCAGAAGCTCTTAAAATGCACTTATCTGTTTATATATCTTTCTATACTTGAAGAGAGGCTGAACATAAAATAAGTCATCTTCCAAGAAAAATAAAACTCACTTTTCCGTTGACCTGCATGTTTTTGAAGATGAGATAGACCCTCCATGTTTTGGCAAAGATGGACCCGTACACAATGGTAAACGACAGCGCCGTCAACGTCACGGTTGCCTAAAACAAACGATTTAAGAATAAAAATATTAAGTAAAATATATATATATATTGGGAAAATAGGGATGTGAATGTGACAAAGTGACCATGGTAATTGGTTAATGCGTTTACAAATAGATTAATAGTACACAGGTCACAGTTTTGCGTCCACTACAATTTACTGTTATCTATGCAATCTAAAATATCTGACTGTTTTTTTTTTCAAGAGCTTACCTGATAAACCTGACCAAGGATGTCAAGAGCAAAGTAGCCATTGTCCAGTCCCCCAAGAATGGCACAGCTGTATGCAAACACAGCGCCTACACAGACTATTACGTTTATGTTGGGACTGGTCATCTTAATGATTCTGCAACACCAAAGAACAATTCAACCAAAGCGGTATTTACGTTTTTATATAATGTAAAACAGACAATAGTAAAAAACAAAACAAAACAATACAAAATATAGTAAAATATTATCAAAATATCTTAGATCTTCTATGATAGTTCTTCTAGTACCCCGAACAGTAAACATAATATTTTTCCAATTATATATGCAATATGAAGTGTCTCACCTGTCTTTATTTTTGTTGACGTTGTACATCAGTAGAGCAAATGCATACGCCATTCCCAAAACTGCGAAGGCACTCATGATAACCAAAAGATAGAGGGGGACACCATCAAGTTTGGTTTCCAAGACAACCTCGTCCTGTCCCATGACTTTAGAGATGTTAGTCGTAAGCACGACTTCCGACTCGTATTTACCGATAGATGTCAGCACCATATCTTAAATGAAATGTAATAAGGGGATTTTAATGCCGTACATTGAAGACTGAGTGTTAGATATTATATATACAAGTTCCATCGACAAGACAATTTCATGATGCTAGAAAATGACCACAGGTCAAACAGATGATAAGGTTTTTGAGAGAACAATTTGATAATGCGAAAATATCATATAGGTTCATAATATTTGTTCAAGATCATCAACAAGATTCTGAATGATGTTCAGAAGAAGAAGAGCTCATTTATCTCAGATATCTTTATGGTTATACATTACTGTTTTGTCAAATGATTCAAAGGTGTTTTTCTTTTTCTAAAAAAAGGGGGGATTTCACAGATACAATTAGTTCCAAGATTTATAACATGCAATCACCTGCATTTGGCTTTTCGCAACTCTGGTGGGAAATAATGAAGGGCAGTTCTGCATATCAAAAACAGTTCTCTGTTCGTCTATATTTAGTATTTATTGTCGCACAGCGGTTTGACAGAGTCATTAAAATGTAAAAAGTAAGATAGCCTACCCTCAAACCACGATATGCTGACGTTCACAGTTCGGAGTCCGGTTTTTGAAAACTTTAGGTATCCCTAAAATAGAAAATTCGTGTATCATAACTTGCATAAACTAAAGCTTGTGCAAAAACATTTCGCGTCAGATAATATACATATGTTTGAATTTTCATTTCACTTAACCTGTGCCTTTATTTCTACCATCTAATATTTCAGCAAACTATCAGACGAACGCACTTTTAAACACAGCCAAGTATATCTTTCCTTTCTTTGGCATTTCCCGCATCTTGCTCCGATCAGCAATGGAGCATTTAAGCATTTTTTCTCAAAAATATAATGAATTAAAATGAATGAATAAAAATACCAAGAGAGCTTACCGTTTTCCCGGACATTCGTATGTTCCACATACTGGCGTCAAAGACCCTGGACACTTCCCGGAAGTCCTGGCTCCTGGACGTCTCCGCCAGGCTGGTATTGAGGGCCGTTATTACAGCCATGGTAGCATCATAAGCAAAGGCGGCAGCACTGTACTGGTCCTCTGTCATCGTTTGACTGACTTCCAAACGTTGACGGAATGCCTGGTAACCCTGAGAATATGACATGTAGTCTTTTACTTTCTATTTTTGGCTATTTTTAGACTGAATGTATAAAGACGAAATGAATATACAAATTAATCCATTGTAATAGTTCCCAATCCCTTCGCTCGAATTCTGTTATTTTGTATTGAAAGCAAGATAACTGACAGTTCCAACTTTTTTTTTCGTTTTCTGGTATGATTTTATTTCCATTTACACTTAACGGTGCGTTGAGTCAAGCCGATTTACTGAAATAAATTGACCAGTAACAAACAAAAGACACTTTACAAACGGTGCCATACATTTTTAGGCCTGCAACATTTTTATAGTTACACGTATAAACTTTTCGAACAGCTCACAGCAACAGTGTTTGGTACATATCACTACTTGGAAGGAAGGAGTAACGTATAATTCAAGTTTGACGTTCAATTTTCAACGCAAATACAGTTCCAAAAAGAGTCAAAACACCAAAACACTCACCACAACATCATAAAGGGATTTTTTGACGTCGACCAAGACCACTGAATTCATCCTGAAGTTGTCACACTCCAGAGTGGTCGGCAGGGAAAACAATGTGTCGTCTGATGTAATGGGGACAATAAACCTGAACCGCCCGCTGTGTCGGCTGGTAGAAAACCCGGCAGAGCAGACGAACTTCTGTATGTTTTCCGCCGTTAGATAAATTATGACAATACGCAATTGACTCTCCTGTAAAAAACATGCACACATGGTTGTTACTTTCTTTCACCCGCCTGACTTGTACGCGGAAATTTTCATGGGACAATTATGATTTTTTGACATCTGTTCTCCATTTAAACAGCCTCTGTTTCTTTGTCTTGCGCATGCGTTGTTCATTATATAATAATATTTTAGCCCCTTATTCTCTTTAAACTTTTGTCATCATACTGTAGTATCTTTCAGAACCAATAGAAAATGTCTCCTTCCTAAGTGATTTATGTCATATTTTTACTGCACTTACTTCCAGTGTCGCCGCAGCATTGATTTTATTGAACTCCATTTCTAAGGGAACGTCTATGTTGCTGTTTCTGAGAGCATTTGCTAGTTGGCGGTATCCCTGTATAAATCAATGATGATTACCATCTTAATACTACACAAAAAAAACTTTTTGTAACCAATGGCACTATTTCCCATGTTATTGTTTTTCAATTGTTTATTTACATCACGCCATTAAACATATTTTATGTAACACTACTTTTGAAGAATGTGGTAAAAATGAAAATGATGATCAGCGCCAAAAGTGCTTTAATGATGTTGAATTCAAATTTTTAGTTTTTATTTATTTATTTATTATTATTATTATTATTATTATTTTAAATTTTTTAACAGAAAACGTACAATCAAATGCAGCCCTGTCGTCTGGTAAATGATGGCCACTTTCCTCCACGAGTATGTTTTCAAGAACCCAATCACGGCACCGTGAGAACTAAGAATTGTGGGATACGTCGTAAACACGTGTGGGGTTTCTTCCGTCAGAGGTTCTGCGGTTACCTGCAATGATCGAAGTCAAAAAATTGTCAACACACTACGGTAATATGTATAACATGCTAAAAAGAGGAGCTTTAGTTTTTACTCCCTCGAGAGAGACATAAAATCAATAAATGTATCTATATCTGTATCTAGATGACTCGACACTTCTGTTTCTAGGCAGGGTTTCTGTGGAATTTTACAATAGCCGATTGGTTCTGGAACCTATATCATAATACAACTTGAAACTTATAAGTCATAACACTTCGATTATCTTACGACTATAAATATAACACTATCATTATTTCAAGCCGCACGAAGATTTTTAAAATAGCATCCTATTTTATTTCAATTTTTCACCTGGGGCACTATTCCCCGCGTGGAGGTAGACATGGGGGTGGCGCGGTCATTTGAGCATCCTCCGCCCAGCAGTAAGACATTTCCACTGCCAGTGCTTAACTGATGAAGTAACAGGCGTAGTTCTTCTGTGGCGTCGCACTGAAAAAATAGTGAAAGAAAGACTTATAATGAATAATACTAAACCAAAATATCTTATCGATGTCATCTTAGTTCCATGTTATAATTCATTATTTTAAAAAATGTATAATTGTATAATTTATAAAAATCTTGGTAAATTATAATGACTTGGTGACCCACTTTTATTAAAGATAAGTGAAAACGATTTTCCATGCATATTTGATAGGAATCGTGAGTAATTAATTATTTTTAACCATGCTTCCAGTGGATGTTTTTCAGACAACCACGACACACAATCGTACGTGTTGCAAGCAAGATAGCATATCAGCAAGAATACGAATGGATAAGGTTTCCCTTCCTGTTTGCTATATTTAAAGTTGTCGCAGCTGTGGTAAAATATTGAGTAATTGATGCATTATTTGTGTTTAAAGGTGACTTTACTTTTTTTCTGTATGAAACGATTCAGGTACATGTAAAGCATGAACAAGCACATTCTGGTTTCTGCCACTTCCCTATAGCTAACGAAGCATTGGTTCCCATTAATAAATTTTACATCACCTCGTTTACTCGATTAATTGTCTACAAAAAGGTGTCACACACACACACTCGCACATATTTGGTGGAAATATTGACGAATGTCAAGTGTTACCTTCCAACTTTCCATTACATACAGCCCTGTACTCTCGATTGCTGTTTCAATAATAGTAGATTTGTACACAATTCAATTAACACAGTACTTATGGTGCTAAATTTAGCGTGCCATACAGATGGATTATTGTCATGATCATCTCTATAGGTAAATACCACGCCTGTGACCCACAAAGTTCTGCACTGAGTGGCCTGTTCGGAATCTGATTCATAATTCCCAAACTATGCGACTGATAGTAGAAAGATTCCCCAGCGGCCTCGCGTTATGGCGTATGGCAGTCACCTTTGGCCGTTCTATTCTCAAGGATAGGTACCATGGGCTATAGATTTAGCGATTATCATCTGGTCTCCGATTATTTCAAGTTGAAGAGGATGGAAAGAACCCATCATTCGCCTGATTTAGCGTCAATAGATTTAATTAGGAAATGTGTTTCTTTTCCCGTCTGTATGATTTTCATTTGTGTATAGCCATGTTCGAAACGATGCCAATCTCGGTTTTAACCTTTATTTAAAAATACTAAGGGAATGAGGTAGGAAGCACAGGGAATGGGAAAATAATAAACGGCGACACTGAGAACCATGACGGGATAATATTTTTACTATAATTTTTAAGAAAAGGCAAAAATTGAAAAAAGTGGGCACGAGTCAAGAGTTTTTAAATAATTATATGAATATCAGCTTATTCTGCAAGTCAAGGTGCACCTATGCTGAAAATGTTTAACACCCAGATTATGCAGAGACAATGACTTTTGGGAAAACTTTAAGATTGTTTTCCTTGTTTAACTATGACAAAGGTATAGCCAACGCTCAGTACTCATACGATGTTTATCTCAAAATATGGTACACGAGAGATGACACTGTAATTATATTTTTAATATTTCTTCATAAAATACATATTCGTTCTAGCCATTCAAATACTGAAAATTACAGGGGTGCAAATTGCCCCAAACATTTGTCGTTAAAGTATAATTGATTTAAGGTATTCCTTGATGTCAAAATTATTGAGATTCCCATCGATTTCTTTTGAAAGAATATGACACGTTACGAACCCGTTGATTTTTATGTCAAAGAAAAATTTAAATCTATGCGTTCTTCTTCACATATAATATCCTTCCCTAATATCATATTTAACATGCCTTTGCAATCATGTCAAATTATGAGCTATTTTCCAAGGACATTTTCAACACGCTACTTGCTAAGACGTGTCGCACCAGCCGTCATATGACTCAAATACACAGATTCAGTCTTCAACTGAATACGACAAGTCTAACATTTTTCATAAACTCATGCTTGATTTAACCATGTTTGCCATTTTTTACATCAGTTGTCTGGTTTCTATCAGTGTTGTTTGATGATTTAGAACGTGTAGTCAAACATGCAGTCTATATTTAATTGTAACGGGTCAACACGGGCTAGCGCAAAGCTTTGAAGCAACTCGCAACAATACATTAGTGTTTAAAACAGCATGTTCAAAATTTTAATTCATAACGGACCGATCCTACCCCACCTGACCTCCGACCTTCAATAATCTCGACATTTGTTACTAGCAGATCGGACCTAGTCAGGCACATGAGAGTTTTCAAAGGAGGTTTTGCTTGAAACGAAATTATAACAACAACGGGATGAAAAGCGATTTTCTATCCGAACAGGCGGCGTTCTGTATCAAAGTTGACTCAAGCCTTGTATTACATCCAAATCTATTGTACGTTATGCGGGCCGATGACTGCATACGCAATGCGTACACCAAGAATACACCACCCGGGCCACGCGTTAAACCAAAAGTGCCCTGAAATGCGCACGGTTTTAAAAATACAGCTCGTCTAGTGCCTCGTATAGTTCAACATTTGTTCAAATGTTTCCCATTCAGGTATAGTATCAATAGAAGAAAGTTACTTTGAAGCACGGGTCGCCCCAAAGAGCACAGGTGAATGGGCGAGGGTAAATAGGTTTAAGCCTGATTGTAGAGGGTAATCTGTTTAACTTCAATATAGAAACACATACACTCGGTTTATATTTGTCACTTCAACTACTCGGATAAGTATGTGTATACTCTTAATCCATAAACACAAGATTTGAGCAAACAAATCAGTTGTAATAAAGACTAAGTGCATATCAAAGGTACTGAACCTCATTCAGTCCAGATTAAAACACTTTTCTGTTGACTATTAAAAACGCTGCGTCTTGGGACGCTTAAATTTTGGGAGGCCATGCCGCGACGCAAGTCACTTGGAAAAAAAGATCTGGAAGCCAGATAACGACGAGAGAATAAAGGAAAAATCTTGACTGCACCTATGCTGGCTGAATAACTGATTGAAAGGAGGGAATGGGGTCCAACAAGACCGTTTTTATCGAAATATTTGGCGGTAATTTTCACAAAAGGGAACATTCTCTCGTAACGATCCAAACTTCGGGCCTGTGTACAAACCGTCTACCTAATGGAGAAAACATGAGACTAATCTTAGCCTATAATCCCTTAATGTAGACCCCTTGTTAATCTGAAGTCAAGTATCTTAATCCCAACGTCCAGGTGAGCTAGTGGACATGAAGATGACAGCTCGGACACGGGTCAGCGGCCGTAATAACGCCGGACCATAAGGACCCCACTTTCTTCTCTGACAGCTGCAGAATGACTCTTTACATAAAGACCCGCTGTGGTACTGACCCAATAATGACGACGTTCCAAACACGATAATGTGACAACTAGCTGTCCCCTACAACTTGTAAAATCACTTCCAAATCTGTAACAGGAAACAATGTCTTCAAGTATAATATTAGTCCGGTCTGACTGCAAACAGCCACTATTACACAGACAGCTTTATAAAGTTTATTATCAGATACAGGGTATTGCGACATGTTTCTTCCTGCTCATACTTTAGATCCCTCATGGTATTGGCCGGTCGTGGGTGTTCTTAATTTCTCCCGGAGTCAGAACTTGTATTGCAAAAAGAGAATTCCATACATCATTATACTTCCATAGATATGAATTGTATATGTAACTATTATTCAAGACGCTTGGTATGGTATTTGTAAATATGTAATTTCGAAACTCGAACCTTTAAAACTAGATATATACCATTCACTTCCGCAACCCATAAGTAACTTCAATAACTAGTTGTCAACCTGTGGGCGGGACGCCCGCCCAAATCTTACATTATCGCCTTTACCACAGTGTCAGAGAGATAAAGAAGAGAGCGAGGGGCAGACATATTTCAATATAATTTACTCTTGGCACGATTACAGATTGTAACGGTTTGATAGGCTACTCCTGCATTCCTTCTAAAATCGCGCTTTGTTCATATGGTCTGTACATATTAGTCATACTAATTCAACATAGTTCATATAGCCGTTATATTTATATACTGAATGGGTTTTCTCATATTGTGAACAATAAATTAAAATCATACCAGAAAAACGACTTTGTGTCATGAACTATTATGATTGTTCTGTTAATATTTCTTTTGTTTCTGCTTCTGCGTATTTCGTATTGTTTTCCAAGTTCGTGGGATGTGTGCTGAATAGTGTGTGATTTCTCCAAATGAGAACCAGTTCAAATTTAAGTTTTCACATGTGAAGTGAATGTTCCGAGGATATAGAACTTATGAAATAATCCTGAATGATTGGTGTTTCAAGTTCATCTCAGTCTATTCAGTGACCCCCCCCCCCCACTTCCCCAATATTTGGCGCTGTTGTAAAGATCAAGAAATAAACCCAAAAGACGAAAATCACAATTTCAATTTCCTTCTGGTTCATTTTCATCTTTCAGACTTCTCGTAAATTTGACTTCTAAGCCACTCCTTGTTCGACAACCGAGTCACCATATATAAGTTTATCCGGTTTTGAGGTGATTTTCACCAACACTGTAACATTTGGTGGGTTCCTACTCACACAAGCACCCTGAAAATCAGTAACATTTCATGCACACTTTACGCCCACTGTCAATACAGGGTAGGGCCTTTCTGAGGGGCTTCTCGTGACCTTAACGCCATTTTTACTCTGTATGTAAGAAACTGTGAAAAAATTAGACGGTGATTAGAGAGAAGGGATGAAGGTGTTAAGACATATTGCCTGTAAGACTTTACAATGCAACGGAGAAGACTTTGTCTACCTCGTATAGAAGATATCCAGGTTTCGGTCCACGAAAATCAGGGTATTTATGCCAGGCTAGACTAGGTTGATGGACCCGCCCCCTTAGATGGAAAAGTTCTTCTCTGAATCAAAATTTATTCTAAATTCTGTGTCAGTTTCCAAAGCATGATCAAAAGGGGGGGGGGGGGGGAAAAGTCCCCCTTCAGTACAAAACCCCCCCCCCCCCCCCCTTTCATC